GAGTTAACAGGTGAATTCCAGAATCCTCACCAGAAACAAAACAAAGGCTTAACAGCTGGATTCCAGAATTCTCACCAGAAATAAAACAAAGGGTTAACAGGTGACTTCCAGAATCCTTACCAGGAACAAAACAAGGGGTTAACAGAATCCTCACCAGAAACAAAACAGAATTAACAGGTGAATTCCAGAATCCTCACCAGGAACAAAACTGAATTTACAAGTGACTTCCAGAATCCTCACGAGAAACAAAACTAAAGGTTAACAGCTGAATTCCAGAATCCTCACCAGAAATAAAACAGAATTAACTACTGACTTCCAGAGTGCTCACCAGAAACTAAACAATGGGTTAACAGGTGATTTTGGCATCCTCACCAGAAACAAAACAGAGTTAACAGGTGAATTCCAGAATCCTCACCAGAAATAAAACAAAGGGTTAACAAGTGAATTCCAGAATCCTCACCAGAAACAAAACAGAGTTAACAGCTGAATTTCAGAATCCTCACCAGAAATAAAACAAAGGGTTAACAAGTGAATTCCAGAATCCTCACCAGGAATACAACAAGGGATAACAGAATCCTCACCAGAAATAAAACTGAATTTACAAGTGAATTCCAGAATCCTCACTGGAAACAAAACAAAGGGTTAACAGGTGATTTTCAGCACCCTCACCGAGGTTCAGAACCTTTCACTTCAAAGAACCAAAACAGAGAATTAAGAGGTGCCTTCAGCTCCCCAGGGACACCAGAGAGGGCTTGAAGCCCATCGAGCATGAAGATTTTCAGGGCCCTGGGCCACTGCTCTGCCCCTTTTACAATGCTCATGTATTTAATACAATGTTCACACATTGAATTCAATGCTCATGTTATTTATTACAATTCTCAGTGTTTATTTTCAAGTCTGCAATGAGAGATTTTTAAAGGCATTTCCATTCTGTGGGCAAAAAGCTGAGAAAAGGACTCAGTGCAAAATAAAGGTTAACTCTAATTATTTTTTAATAACTTGCTAGGATCTTTCCCTGCTCTGGCTGGATGTAAAAGCAGTTGTACACTGACAATATCCAAGCTGTGCCAATCCCCAACTCCAAACAGCAATTCCAAGTGCCTCCCTCAGTTTCTGCCATGCAGAACTGATCCACACAGGCTGAAAGGAAGGAGATCAATGACATTAAAACAGAGTGAACATAATCCCATGTGAGCCCCTGTCACCATTCCTGGGTTAAAGGAAACTTCCTCCCATTCCACCTCTGCTCTTCTCCCAGCGGAGCTGCCCATCCTGTTTGGATGGGAGCTGGGCTTTGCCCTCGGTTAATTAGCATCTTCATTAACACAGCCATTTAGTGCCTCCCAACAGGATCTAATGAATCACACCGGTACAACTTGTCACCTGTTTCACTTCTCCAGGAACTGGGAAAAACACTTCCCAAACCAGTGAAACCAGTAATCACCAGTGTGCATCAACTGGGCAGGTAGGAGCCAGAAAATCAACTTCAGGGCCTGGTTTTGATTGGAAAATACATTTCAGTGCTTGACAGGGGCCTGCTCATCATCAAAAAGGCCTGAGACACCAGCTGGAATGAGGATAACCCTGCAGAAGTCTGGATTCCCAAGGAATAATGAAGAAATGCAATGCCTAAAACCCATGGATGTGACAGGCTGCCTTCATCTTCTGCAGGAAAGCATGAAACTCCCTGAATATTCTGTAGCCAATCCCAGATCTGATTCCAAACAACACTTGATGGATGGATTTGGGACCCAAGCAGCTAATCACACCAGGGAGGGTTCTGCAACTTCCCAGCCACTGAAGGATGAGGACCCAAACCAGAATTTGCATTTGTAATCTCTGAATTTGACTACAAATGCTCCCATCCTCTCTTGGTCCTTCAAACTCTGCAAATTCTCAAACATTGCTCTGATTTTTTCTCACGTCAATTCTCAAACCTGAAGTGCCAAGATTAGAAAGGTGCTACCCCTGGTTTTAACAAAACCAGCCCAAAGCTCCCATCATCTCCTCAGAGCTCCAGCACCTGCAAGAGATCTTCAGTGCCCAGGTGTCCACGGGAGGATTTCCCTCCACTGAAACTGCTCCTGGTATTTAAAAGCCCTAAATGAGATGATTCATGTCTTTGATGAGATCTGCAGCAGCCACACTGAAGTCAAATTGGTCACAAAATTTCTGCTCTGCTGAAGCACAGCTCGAGAACCTCGCTGCAAATCCCTGCTGCAGCCTTCCACAAAGCCTTTGGATAGAACTGGAGTCGTTTTATTTCCCTGTATACCCCAAGAACCTTCTTCACACTTCACTCTGAGACTGCCACAGAGCCACTAATGAGAACAGACGAGGTACTTGGTAAGGAATGAAGATGTCTTAAAAGAATAAGGCATTTCAGCTCCAATCTGAAGTGTTGACAGCTGAAAGGAAAGTGAAACAAATAGATTTGAAACATGGAAAAACACTATTTATAATGCTATACAAACACTTCTTCAACAGAATGAGTAGTTACAGCTGAAGGGTTTAATGCCATCACCATTAAAAGTCACTTTCTGAACAGGCAGAACCTCTCAGAGCTTCACTCTGTTCTTGTTTTGTGATAAACTCCCAGGCTCAGCTTGCCAAGGGCACAAGAGGATGAAGAAATAACTGAGGCAAGGGAGAAGCTCCTGCTCCACGCTGCCTAATTTCCATTTTTAAGGTAAAGGCGAGCTGGAATGAGCACACAGAGAGCAGGGACCATGCTGGAGCCAGACTCAGAGACCAAAACAAACAAAGTCCCCACATCTTCCCCACCCCGGCACATTCCTCACCCACGGGGACAAGAACAATTCTGTTTGCAGCGGTCAGGGCACTGACAGAGCCATCCTTTAAACCAGCAATAAAGCCCTGTGGGTTTATTATACTTGTATAATTTAGAGATAAAGCTTTCATCCACATCGCAGGGAGGCAATGCCTCGCACCTTCCCCACCTTGCACAGGGCACTGCCAGGGAGGGGATGGTGTCCCTGGGAAATCCAGCTGGGAAATTCTCCTACGACACCAACAGGAGAATTCCTGTCCCCTCCTCCAACCCAGCTGTGGTTTGCAGGACCCAACCTGTGGGAAATGGATTTGTAAGAGAGAAGAAATGCTGGTTCAGGAATGCCATGGAATAGGACAGACATCGTTGAGAGAGAAAAGGAACTAGAAGAAGTTTCAAAGGATGGCCTTGCAAATAAAACTAGATATTTTAGAGAAATAGAACTTTGAAAGATGCATTGCAGCAGGACCCACAAAGGGTAATTTTAGATGATTGGCTTTAAGGCATTTACAGCATGGTGTGGCTAAAGCTGATAGACCAAGAAACACTTACAGTGTGTTGTAATTAGGAAACTTCTGATTGTGTTGGTGTGAATTGTAACACCTGTATTGTCTCACCCTTCTCATGACACTGAAAATGGAATTAAAGTGTTTAAACACCTCTTGGTTGCCCCACCTCTGGGTGAGAAAAGGGCATCATCTGACACCAACCCAGCTCCACCAGCAGAAACCCAAACCCTCTCCATGCCCTGATCCATGGTATCCTGACCCTGGGCCAGGCCGGATAACACCGCAGGGAAACCACCCAAGTGCTGCCAAACACAGCAAGAAAATCCACAAAAAAGCCTCAATTTCTCCAGTTTTCTCTGCCACATCCCAACTCCAAGCCCTTGCCGGCTCAGCTGCAGCAGCAGAGCTGAAGGGCAAAGACACAAAGAGTTTTGGTGCAGGAAATGTTGCTTTTCTTTCCTGTTGCCTGCAGCAGCGGAGCACAAAGATCACTGGCACCTGCCAGGTACAAACCCCAGCACAAAAACTGCCCCCAAATAACAACAACAGCAACCCACCCCCGGCTGCTGAGCACAACTTCCAAAATGTTTGGCTTGCTCTATCCTAACAGGAAATAAAGTCACCAAACAACAACAAACAGCTGAACTGCAGGGAAATGAAAGGCCAGGCCCAGCTCCCAAGGACTGGCTGCAGAGAAATCCTGCAGACTGCACCTCCAGGTGTTTAGTTCTGGGAATATTCATTCCTGCAAACAGCACTGCACGAGGAATTGATGTTGTTTAGCTCTAAAAAGGTTGAGGTTTTGGCACCCGGCTTCAAATTGAAAGAAATTTTCAAGAAATCCCAGCATCAAGCACACAGTGGTACTGTGTGTTCCGGTACTGAGAGAACACCCAAAATTCAAAAAGAGGATGAGGATGGTGAGAAACATTTTTCAGAGAGTAAAAGCTGGAAGAAGCTTTCCAGACATCCAACTTAGCTGGGGATGGTGGTACATTCCTGTCCTGAGTGCCTGCAAAAGCCTTCCTGGAGCGAGGAGGGGATCCCTGAACACGCCTCTGACATTTCCTGCTCCACAACCCAGCC